TAATCTGTTTAACAAAGTACACAATAATATAGATTTTACTATGGAACATAAAGTAGAAGTTAAATTCCATTTCTTAGAAATTGTAATCAAATGAAATTCAGACGGCACACTATAAAGACATATTCACCGTAAAAATACCCGGAGCAAAGTTTACCTTAATTACAACAATTTCTATTCAATAAGTTACAAAAAGGGATTGCACAAACCCTTTTTTTACCGAGCTCTTAAACTTTGATCAAAAGAAAGTTTGGAAGAAGAACTTGTCATCATTACAACTTGTCTACGACAAAATATATACCTACAGAAATTTATCGAGAAGTATGCCAAAACTAAAGTATATGTTAAATACGATATGGCGGAAAAGAAAACCTGCTTCTTATATCTGTGATTACTGAAATAATTAACCACAGGATAAATGCTGAGATGAAGATTGTTTATCGAGGAGGAGGACTGATTACGATATAAGAAATGAACTGCTCACTAAAACAAATAAAAGTCGACAGATTCTCTTTTCTCAGTACCTTCAATTGCATTTACCAATCTACATGTACGTGCAGAAGCACATACATAGGAAGAAGACAATGAAGAGTACATGTTCACATTTCCGAGGAAGTTTTAAAGAATGGAAAAAACTTGGTATTTGCTAGATGGTAATAATGATATCAATAATAACTCAATTGTTAAGAAGAGGAAATGAGGAGAAAAAGGAAATTATGGAACTGAGGAATTTATATATTATTATTATACATCATCCCAACTGCGTCACAAGACAAGTCTTCACATGGAATCCTCAAGGCCGAAGGAAAAGAGGAAGACAAAAGAACACATTACGCCGAGAAATGGAGATAGACATGAGAAGAATGAACAACAATTGGATAGAATTAGAAAGGAAGACCCAGGACAGAGCAGGTTGGAGGATGCCGGTCGGCTGCCTATACTCCATTGGGGGTAACAGGCGTAAGAAAATAAGTAATAAACATTTCATTCTGTATATTTACTAAACAGTTAGTTCAATGAGTATTCCTCGATATCATGGTTTGAACACTTAGTATGATATAGGCTTAAAAGATACAGGTTACCTATAACCATTCGATTAGCTTTCTTAACACTAAGATAGGTAGATCCCATGGACATGTCCTAAACAGGATGAAATCCGAGTCCTTGATTTCATTAAAAACCATAATTTAAATGTACCAAAAATATTTGTGTGTTATACTTCAATTGTTTCACTCTTGTTCTTTTCGTCTTCTGAATTTTATGGAATTTAATAGTATCTAACGCTACTTTCAAAATCTTATTAACATAATCCTCACGATCTCGTTATACACAATTTTTGACTAGTATTAATTAAATTACCCTAATAGTTGAATCCATGAGTCAATTAATGATGGACCACCATAGAAAACCTGGAAGTACTGGATGGCCGTTTCGTTCTAGTAAGGGACTCCTCAGCAGTGTGCACTCATGGTCCCGCCCCGCGAGATTCGAACCTAAGACTTATCAGCCTCGCGTGCGAACGCTTAACTTCTACACCACTGAGTCGGTATCCAATAATGTTAGTGTCTAAGTTCAACAAAGTATTGAATTACAAAAATCTCCACAATACCCTCTAGTGATAAAATTACCTTAATTCCTGTACATTTCATTGAGTTACCCTACCTGAATAATAATAACTGTCAGCACTTTGTCTTGAAAAGCCTGATAAACATGTAGGTAAACAGATAATCATTCTGATATCTTAGAGTCAATATGACGTAGTTCTGTTATCTATACAAACTCAGTTAACAGCCGTACACTTTAGTATGACATTCCAATTAACATGTTTAAACACTATGTATATTTTAGAGTCTTTAAGCTTCATATATAACGTTTCTTTCGCTTTCCACATTGTAAACCTCTTCAAGTGTCAGTTGTTATTTACTTACACATAAAATCATATTTTATCATATCACATAACTACGTATATCAGTTCAGTGTATATAAGTTTATGAATACACTTACGAAATTGGTTTGTTCGAATCTTCCCGTTGATGTTTAGGACTACGATTGATCAGTCTTTTTTTAACATATATGTATCCTCTGTGGATTGTCGCGATATTGCTTTAGTCCACAAGCATGATAAGTAAAGATGGATAGCGGTTAGTAGTGGAATCCAGGACGCGCGTCTCGTTCCATTTAGGACTCGTCAGGTGGATGTACTTGCACCTCAGATTTGATGTTCACTCTGGGACTTGAACCCAGTATCATTCGCTCCAAACGCCATCGCGTTATCGACTTAGCTACTGAGTCCTAATAGCCACTTGCTTGTGAAATTGAGTGAAGTTTAAATTCACTTGGTAATGTTTGCCCAATTCAAAAGTCAGCGTAAATTTACACTACTTATTTATAACCAGTAGTTTGTCATGCCTACGTCAACAATATGAGCTTGTATTTTATCTGTTACGGTACCCAAAATAGTATCACATAATCTTGATAATCTTCATCTTCTTATTACACAATCCAAATTTATTAAAGGGATTAATCGCTTCAAGTTTTATGTCTCCTCTAGCTTATTCACTATTTCTCCATAAAAAGAGATTAATTTCAACAGTTGAGATCATGAGTCAATTGAAGCTAGACCACCATGGAAAACCTGGAAGCACTGGATGGCCATTTCGTCCTATTGTTTAGTTCTCAGGGTTATTTTCTTATATGTAACTCGATTGTTTACTCAGACGCTCATCTTGTATGAATATTTAACATTTCTATTTTGAATTCAATAGTTTCTAGCCGTATTGTAGTGAAGGAGAACACAGGTGAGGACAACCGAATCAGTTACTTGGTAAAATAGAAAAACCATACTCGAATACTTAATTTGCAAAATGTTTAATAATTGTCTCGAACTTCGTTGTTTTTGCATTTCCATACTAATTGCTTTCTATTCTCTTGATCTTCCCCATCTTCTGCTGCCAGACATTACATTCCTGACTCGCGTTATATACTACTTATGTCAATATAAGTAGCACATACCACAGTATCACTTACAAGGTTTACTTAGTACAAAAAGGCCGTCTAATAATTAGAATTCTTGCAACAGGTTCAAATACTTACTTCTTTGAAGTAGTTGTTAATAAAAATGATCCTAGTTGAATTCTAAAGACGAACTTATATCTATGAATATTATTTCTGTTCGTTTGTACTAGAATACAATTGGATGACATTAAAATAGCCCTGAAATTCCAGGCTACTTATCAACTAATGTGAATACAAGTGTCTTTTACTAAATGTAATGAAATTTTATGTGTATAGATGTTTATTAAGTTGACTTAATAATCAATGAATCAAACATCCGAACCAATTCTCATTTGAATGCCTCCTCATAGTAAGAAGTGGTTTACATTAAGTAACGAAACGTCAGAAATACAATTTCTCTACTCATTGGGATATCACAAATATATATATATATGTACTATTCATCATAATAGTTTATCACTTATGGTAATGATATACTTGCTGATTCATTCTTAACACATGAAAGAATAAAAACTTAGCATGTATTTGGCATTTAAACAGTTGTTTCCATTCTACGATTCCATAATAGACCAGTACCAAGTTTCTGAGCTTTAATCATTCCAAAAAGGAAATCTCAACATAATCACCTATGCAGTAGATGAGGATTAGCAATACTTTTTGAATTTAGCATAACACATGAAAACAAATCATCTCCACGATCCCCAACTAGTTTCATGATGTAGTAGTTTTACTATAGACTTACACAACTTATAAAGTCTTATAGAAACAGAACTGAGGGATTAGAGAAACTGATTACATGAAGAAAAAGTGATCATTGATCAATAAGTTTGGATAAAACACTACCAAGTAGATTTGCCAACGTATTGAAAAGTATCGCAAACTTGGTTATATATGCCTAAGAAAGATCGGGTTGCGAAAATTGTTGAACGAGTAAAATCAACTGATAAGACATGTATGTATGTTGAAAATTTGAGGTGCAAACTTCTGAAATAACTTATAGATCCCCAGCATCTTCGACACTTTAACCTCGAAAGTAGCAGAAAGGTGGAAATGATGAAAGACGTTTTACGCTTGGAATTATTTCGATGAAAAAAAATGAAAGGATATTTATAGAGCTAACAATGGCCCTGAATTTCTAGAAACTTATGCAAAAGATACTAATGTTATTAATGTCTTAAACATAGAGTCTATCCATAACATTTTTGCTTTAATTCAATGGTAAATATCATTCCTGTTTTTACAGCTGCTCGGATATCATACCAAGCTACCTTGAGGCGGATATTACTTTAATGGTTGGCTAACTTCTCTAGCTGTTTCTCAAATATCATCGTGAATTCGTCATTAGTTTGAACTTCAAGAGGTTCTATTGTTGTGGTTTTTTTACATCCGATGAGACGCTGACAAATACATGCCCACACTAGAGAGATGATCTGAGTCTAAACATGTGTTTCAGGATTAGTGGCAGCCTTTTATTGAGCCGCTCCAAGTTTGGTTGAAGAATGTTAGGGGAGGCCAAACCAAAACGTGGCATCAGAGCTTGAAGTCACTAACTTCTAGTCTGAGCCATGTTGGGAGATGCAAACTACTTGGTTGGGGTCCACACAACCATCGTAACCAATGGTTGGAGACTCTGGGGAACATTGGCTCCGAATCGATCACAATGGCGTAGGTGTATACACTCTCTGTCTTCCCTTAAACTAAGAGATTAAAATCGCTTCATATCTTTATGCGTACTATTTCTTTCTTCCTGTGCTATATCCTTATACCCAATCATTCTTTTATATATTACCACCTTTGACCTAACCACTCCTATGAATCCGGTGTTCATCTTGTTGTGTTAATGAGGTATGGCAACTTGGACCGATGCATATATGTGCCTGGGTCTTACGTTGTAGCTGACTGACTGACTGGTTGAAGAATGCTTTGTTTAAAATTTGCTTTTTTCGAAAAAAAAACAACTATGGTACTTGACGAACACAATAATCCCCCTAAAACAGTCTATTGTATAAACATAAAACAACCAGCTTTTTTTATATATAAACAAGAACTTTAAATTATTCAAGTAAGATCAAAAGTCAATTTACAGAATGCAACAAGAAAGAAATCACTCGGATTTAGACTTTGAAGGTGATGATGGCTAAAATAAGAAGAAAAAAACGGATTTGCAACTGAAATAATGCACTAACCTGACAAGTATCGGTTACATCGTCTTTTGTAATATCATCCAATTGTTCCTTCAGCGTGATAGGTAGAGATGTAAGAAGAGGAGAGTTGTGAATGAAAACAACAGCAACATAAACGATTTTAAAAATTCAATTTTTCTAATGAATATGCGAGCTGAAAACATAAGAACATTGCTAGGCGAAAGTAATCTTGTTCTCTTTTAAAAAATAAACCTGATTTTCATGAACCAACTTGATCTATCCCCGCTCTAATTGTTTAAAACATTGCTGAAAGCCTTCAGACTGTATCGCTTACTGATTCAAGCTAGGGACGCTGATTGTTTGCTTCCGACACAATGTTCTAATAGTCCCGTTATAATACCAAGACTTAAACGCTAAGGGGTCGAATTGTAGATGTGCGTTTTTGGTCAGCTTTCATACTAGGACGACACAGCTGGTCAATTCTCTCTAATTTTCACTGATTTTTAACTGGTTCGGAAGCTCATGGTAAAACGATTCTCTGAGAAAAATCACTTAGTCAAGATGAAATTTGGATAAGTGTGGAATTCTTGAAGAAACTCAACATGGATCATAACCTAACATGAGAACACATTTGTGTTTAAACAGTGATTTTTTTCTGGATACAAATGAGAGTGAGAACAGAATAGAAGTGAGTAGGAAGAATCTTTGACGAGACTATAATTTATAGACGAACCAATTAGATATAAGATAACGACTCACGAATTTTGGCGGGAAATTCATTCACACATCTGGATAAATAGAGTTTTGGCATTATAGCTGATATCAGTTCGTGATGGAAACAATAAATCTAATTTTTAACCCTAACCATCAACTGTAAATGAGAATTCCAACTGCATTATAACCCTCATTTAGTCCTAATCAGTAGGTGTTCACACTCAAGGTCATTTCAGTGTCGCTCAAAAGTCGTCCACAAATTACAGTCTCACCTACCGATTCCTCACAATTATAACCCTGTTTTGGAACCTAGTAAATGGGTGAGTTTTTATCAAGATCACTAGCGTCCAACACAGACAGTTCATAAATTACAGTTTCATCAAGTTCCTAATTTCAAAATACACTGAAGTACTTGTGACGTTATCGCAGTATTCTGGTATATACATAGGGGCCAATTTTTATAATTATGATGCAAAATATATGATGAAAGTAGTTCTTACCAATTCATCAACTGTCGGCTCTGGAATGGGCTTTAATTTTGGAAAAAAGTAGTACATGACAGGATATAAAAGCCGATGTAGTATCCATAATATGACTGGTATTACGATGCACGGAATACAAACCATATCTTCAAATATATTGTTGAATGCTTCTAATAAATCATAAAAATCAATGTTTAATAGATATTGCATATATAGGAGGCTTTTATGTTATCAATTAGTACTAGAAGATAGAGGGCTAAGAAACCAAGTCACTCAATGACCCATTAAATTATATTTGCCTGACATACAATAAGCAATTTATCGGAATTAAAAGTCGCAATTCAGAATAAAAATTCTATCTGAATGATCAGTAATATCAAGGGACTAATTTTAAATAGCACACAGTAGAATTGTCGTCCATAGACAACAATAATACACGAGCGCGTTTCAAAAAAGGCAGTGATTTTGTACTTGATGTGATTATCATTGCTTTTGTGTAATTGTTGTATCAAAAGCATTCTTGGTCTATTTTATATTAAAAGTACTTTAGTTAAGGTTTGAAATCTTGCTAAAGTTTGTCTTGTGGTACCCTTTTACTCATTGACTGACACTTGTGTTCATATTTTGTTTGAAACCTTGATCTGACTAAAATGGTTGGTAGTACTCACAAATGTGGACAACCAAACTGTGTGCTCCTTGTGGAAGAGGGAATGCAGTGTGATGAATGCAATAAGTGGTTCCATAAGATGTGCCCTCGTTTAAGTCCCACCGCATACAAAAGATGTTCGAAGCCTAACTCATATTGGCTTTGAATGTTTTGCTGTGCAAATAAGGCATTACTAATACAGGAGGCTATGAGCCTATTGGCTTTAGCCTGTAAGAAGAACGATGGCATATGCGCCGACAACACGGGCACTGACAGTGACGAATGTGTCAGTGTAGTACCTGCTGTTACGCGACGCCTCAAACAACCGACTCTGACCGACGTAATAGTGAAATCTCCGTTAGCATCAACAATGGAAGTAGTACCACCTGGTACTGACACTGGTAACAATGCACCTTTAGTGGGAACCGACGAACTGGATAAAACCGTCACCGTTCCAAATAGTCCCAGTGTCCTGAGGGATGAAAAATGGACTACGGTACGTCGGAAACGAAACGAAAAAGCCGTAGGCAGTACAAAGGTAGTTAGTAACTCACTGGTGGACTTCCATTGTTAGTCACAAACTGCACTACCAAAATCTGATGGTAAGAGTGAAACCCATCCTGGCGTGACTGAGAAGAAAAATCAAATAACATCTAATATTATTGTGAACAAATTGCAGGAGTCAAACGACCCTGATCCTAAAATTAGACACGCGCATGATTTAGAAAAGCTAGGAGAATATATTCGTAGTATTTTACCAGATAACTCTAAAGGAGTTCAGGTCAAAAAATTGGTTAGAATAGGCAAGAGGACTGAAGACAGTGTTGAACCCCGACTATGCAGACTCCTTAAGGTAATTCTAGGATCAGATAAGCAACGGGATCTCCTGTTAAGTAGCGCTCATAGTCACGACAATTCCGAGTTAGACCAGATATATCTCTCGAAGATAGAAAAAAAGGAAGAAGGCACTAGCTGAACTTGAAACCCGTCGACAAAACGGCGAGGAAAATCTCCGGCTAGTGGATTTTCGGATAGTCAGGTCTTGGAAGCGAATGCTACCAAGGCCTGTGTGGATAGGCTGTTCTACTTAGGAGTTTTATATGCCAACGCTCGTAGTCTACAAAATAAGTTCTATGAACTAGAAGCATTAGTGGACAAATTAAGGCCACTCATTGTAGCAGTGACAGAAACTTGATTAGTCCATGACTTGGACATTACTCCAGAATTATCCGGATACCACTATCTAAGAAGTGATAGATATAGATTTGGAAAAGGAGGTGGCGTCCTTTTATATATAGCCAATAATATAAATATCCGCTCCTCTGCTAGCGAATCCCATGATAGCGGTACTTGTGAAGTCATTAGCTGTGAATTGGCTATCGGTTATGGTACATTTATGCTCGGTGTCATCTATCGTAGCCCAATCTGCTTAGCTAATAACTTTGTTTTAGAGCACATTCAATTATGGAGTGCAAATAACAGATGCTTGATAATAGGAGACTTTAATGCACCTGATATTAGTTGGACTGAGATGACCACGGAAGGATCTATAAACTTCTTTGATAGTAGGTTCCTGATAACAATAATGGAAGACGCATTAGTGCAGCATGTATCCAAACCCACACGTTTTGGTGCTAACCAAGGTTCTTCTCTGTTGGACTTCGTAATCACTCATGAGACTGAGGATATTGCCGACCTAAATATTCTTCCACCGTTAGTGAACAGCGATCACGCTGTTTTGTCATTCACTTTTAGAACTAGGGACATGTATTACGACCAGGTTACGCCCCGCCCAAATGTATGGAAAGCTAACATACCAGACATTCAGGAATGCGCTACTAAGACAGATTGGTTTGTAGAGACTAGCTTATCAGTTGAAGAAGCATGGTCTGTATTTAAAGGCAAGTTTAGTTTAGTTACGTCCTCGTTCATAACATACCTAGTACAGCGTAGACCGTATATAAGAGTCCACCATGGATAAGTAAACCAGTCAAGAAACTTCTTAGAAGCAGGAAAAAGCACTGGAATACGTTCATCTCTACTAGCTTAGAACAATACAGATCCAGGAATTGTAAGATTAGGAATGCATGTAAAGCGTTAATAAGTAAGTCTAGACGATCATATGAAAAACAATTGGTTAGGGATTGTACATATAGTCCGAAATGGTTATTCTCGTACTCAGAGAAGCGATAGAATTCCATCACATTTAATACAAGAAGACCCGTTAATCTTGGCAAGAGATGATACCGAAAAACCTGAATGTTTATCGGAATATTTCAGTAAAGTGTTTTCTATCGGTAATGGAGAACGACCAACGATTCATTGTAATTGTAGCGGCTCGTTGATGGACCCCGTAGTTATTGAGAAAGGTACCGTCTTAAGGCTAGTTCAGCATCTGAAAACAGATAAGTCCAGCGGTCCTAATGATACTCATCCCAGGTTTATGAAAGCCATATCAGATATAATTGCTGAAATTTTAGCGACAACGTTAGACATGTCTCTGTCCATATTATTTTATTTATCTGAACACATAAATATTGGTACAAGAGGGCACCAAATATATATGCGCCACACAAAACAACGAGAATTTGAAGAGAAGGAAAAAAGGTAGGGAGCGTAAAAAAAAGAGAACAATAACGAAGAGATTGATGTAAGGTAGTGTTATAATAATAATAGTAATAATGAGGGAACGGAAAGGTACAACCAGAAGAAATCTTTCAGTTAAGGAAGATACAACCACTTTTTACGAAGAAAGTAAAAGAAGGTTACAGCAGGATCGCCACTGGCTTCTATTCTGAGCCATATCTGATAACGTCTCTAGCCAGTGTTGCACCATCTCCAGGACCCCAGCCAGGGAGTCGTGAAGGACCAACAGAAGCCAGCCCTTTGCAGCTTTCTTTCATACCATGACATCATGTCATACACTGACCACCTCCGCTCTTTCCAACCAGTCCCAGAGTCGGCAAATAATGCACGACGTGGAATTCTCTGGGACGACATTCGTAGAACATGTCCAAGCCACCGAAGTCGATGTTTCAAGATGCTGACACCAATTGGATTATCGTCTCTGCGCCCGAACACACGATGCCGAACCTCTGCATTACTGACATGGTGTTGCCACTGGATGACAGCAATCCTCCGGAGACAACGATGATCAAACACAGAGAGTCGTCTAACATCCTCAACTCAGAGAGGCCAGGTTTCACAAGCATAGAGCAAAACTGCTCTCACCGACGCGTTGTAGACCCGACCTTTTACAGCCAGACTAACATCATGAAGGCGCCAAATATGGCCCAGATTGGCATAAGCCACTCTGGCTTTCACTATACGTCCATTGATCTCATCGCTCACACCACCACCAGCACTTATGCAGCTACCTAGATACACGAACTTCTCGAATACTTCTGTCTGCTCACCATCCAGGGTGAGTGCAGGATTAGGATTCTGCCAGTCTTGTAGAAGTACTTTGCACTTCGAAGGTGCAAAGCACATACCATACATACGGACACTGATTGCCAACTGATTAAGTGCAGATTGCATGCCTTGGGCACTATCGCACAGTAAGACAATATCATCCGCATACTCAAGGTCGAGAAGTCTTTCTCCAGGCAACAGATCCACACCGGCATTACTTACATTCATCAGAGCTGTTTCCAGAATGTCGTCGATGGCAAAGTTGAAGAGGAATGGTGAGATTGGGCAACCCTGTCTAACCCCACTGCTCGAATGGAGCAGTAGGGAGGGGTGGTTGTATGCCCTCACTCTGCCTGAGGTGTTTGTATATAGGGCTTTTAGGATGGTAATAAACTTCTCAGGCACACCCTTCTTCAATAGACAATCCCAGAGAACAGTTCTGTGTGGCAAGCCCATTTGGCCACTGTATCATTTGTCTATTCATTGTAACTCAGACACTTAATTCATCATGTTAATTTCTGTGTGCATTTCAGACTCTTAATTCACTATGTTAATTTCGGTGTGTATGATTGAATGCATGTCTGTACATTAACCCTTAAGCTATCCTCCTATTGGTTGCAATGTGCAGATAATCGATAATTTATCCACACTAGATTAACCCTCAAAAATATATATGGATTTTTAACACACACACACTCACTCACTTTGTTTCATCGTGTGCTTGCTCGCTGTACGCTTGTGGATTTTTATTAATCATTAACAATAAATTATCTCTACAACTGGTGTTCAGGCTTCTCAATAATCTCGAGTAAATCCGTAATTCTACTAGGAGATTAAGCCTACCTTAAATACTCAGTTTACGGGATATTATTTATTGGAGTCAGATATAGAGGACATTAGCCTCAACATATTGGTTAGCCGCCGTTTCAACATATTGGTGACCCGCCTTTAGAACGCGCACCATTTTCCTACAAAGTCCGCTGAATTCTCCTCAAGCGTATCATAAAGAACTTCACATTGGAATTACTATTACAATTATTAACAATTCATTAACAGTCACAATAAATCCATCCATAACATTGTTCCTTTGGAATTATTGCTGTATATTCG